GACACAGGCACTGTCTGTCTGTGTGGTGACACAGGCACTGTCTGTCTGTGTGGTGACACAGGCACTGTCTGTGTGTGGTGACACAGGCACTGTCTGTCTGTGTGGTGACACAGGCACTGTCTGTCTGTGTGGTGACACAGGCACTGTCTGTCTGTGTGGTGACACAGGCACTGTCTGTCTGTGTGGTGACACAGGCACTGTCTGTCTGTGTGGTGACACAGGCACTGTCTGTCTGTGTGGTGACACAGGCACTGTCTGTCTGTGTGGTGATACAGGCACTGTCTGTGTGTGGTGACACAGGCACTGTCTGTCTGTGTGGTGACACAGGCACTGTCTGTCTGTGTGGTGACACAGGCACTGTCTGTGTGTGGTGACACAGGCACTGTCTGTGTGTGGTGACACAGGCACTGTCTGTGTGTGGTGACACAGGCACTGTCTGTGTGTGGTGACACAGGCACTGTCTGTGTGTGGTGACACAGGCACTGTCTGTGTGTGGTGACACAGGCACTGTCTGTGTGTGGTGACACAGGCACTGTCTGTGTGTGGTGACACAGGCACTGTCTGTGTGTGGTGACACAGGCACTGTCTGTGTGTGGTGACACAGGCACTGTCTGTTTGTGTGGTGACACAGGCACTGTCTGTTTGTGTGGTGACACAGGCACTGTCTGTGTGTGGTGACACAGGCACTGTCTGTTTGTGTGGTGACACAGGCACTGTCTGTTTGTGTGGTGACACAGGCACTGTCTGTGTGTGTGGTGACACAGGCACTGTCTGTGTGTGTGGTGACACAGGCACTGTCTGTGTGTGTGGTGACACAGGCACTGTCTGTGTGTGTGGTGACACAGGCACTGTCTGTGTGTGTGGTGACACAGGCACTGTCTGTGTGTGTGGTGACACAGGCACTGTCTGTGTGGTGACACAGGCACTGTCTGTCTGTGTGGTGACACAGGCACTGTCTGTGTGTGGTGACACAGGCACTGTCTGTGTGTGGTGACACAGGCACTGTCTGTGTGTGGTGACACAGGCACTGTCTGTGTGTGGTGACACAGCCACTGTCTGTGTGTGGTGACACAGGCACTGTCTGTGTGTGGTGACACAGGCACTGTCTGTGTGTGGTGACACAGGCACTGTCTGTGTGTGGTGACACAGGCACTGTCTGTGTGTGGTGACACAGACACTGTCTGTGTGTGGTGACACAGGCACTGTCTGTGTGTGGTGATACAGGCACTGTTAATACTTTGACCTTCACGTGAATGCTCCGCTGTAACCTGTCCTCTCTCTCACTACATCTCACTGTGTACGAAAAGTTTCCCAGACGTACAAGAACCCTGACAAGTAGCGCCTCATAAATATCCACGTTTTCTATGCTTTGGTATGTTAGGTTTGGTGGGTGGTTTGGGTTGGTACGCTTCTGGTTAAGTTAGCACCTTGTATATTGTACGTTGTGGCGCATAATGAGGACGGGCGGGGGGGGGGGGGGTGGATCACTCCTGATTATAGGGTTATATAATGTTAGTTTAGTGATTTAGCTCATTGTAGTTGATGTATTGCGTACACCCGAGGGTGTTTATATATATATATATATATATATATATATATATATATATATATATATATATATATATATATATATATATATATATATTATATATATATATATTATATATATATATATATATATATATATATATTATATTATATTTAAAGCCTTGCCCCCCCAGCAAGGCTTTAAAGACTTGCTGGGGGGGCTACCTTGAGGTTATCTTGAGGTGCTTCCGGGGCTTAGTGTCCCCGCGGCCCAGTCGTCGACCAGGCCTCCTGGTTGCTGGTAACTGTGTACTCACTTAGTTGTGCTTCCTAGGGTTGAGCTTTGACTCCTGGGATCTGTGTGTGTGTGTGTGTGTGTGTGTGTGTGTGTGTGTGTGTGTGTGTGTGTGTGTGACGAGGGCGGCTAGACCATTCAACAAGGCGAGACCTCGGTTCATCTACCAAGGCTCATATCATTTGTTGCTTATCAAATGTAGGCCACTTGGGCATTTGAGTTATATCAAGACTTGTGACAAAAGCTGTGATGTGTGGCCCTCATAGTGAGGTGGGGAGGGGGGAGGGGTAGGGGACGACACCAGCAGCAGTTGAGGTTGGTGGGGATCACCTTACCTGGCCCCTCTCCCTACACACCCTACAGCTATCCCCCACGCTAACTTAACAATGCCCCCCCCCCACCCCGCGGTCCAACCACTTGGGCTGGACGGTAGAGCGACGGTCTCGCTTCATGCAGGACGGCGTTCAATCCCCGACCGTCCACAAGTGGTTGGGGTACCATTCCTTCCCTCCCCCCCGTTCCATCCCAAATCCTTATCATGATCCTTTCCCCAGTGCTATACAGTCGTAATGGTTTTGGCGCTTTCCCCTGATACTCGCTGCACAACAGTGTACACACGTGTAATGCATAAAGCATGTACATGAGAAGACATTATTAGGAGCAATGTGAGGGTGGTGGAGGCCGGGGACACGCGAGGCTGTGACATTTACCATGTTGACAAGTCAAGTCAAGGTAAGGTAACCTCAAGGTAGGTAAGGTTGACTGGCAACCCAAGACGCCAGCCTCCCCCACCTGCCTCCTCTCACAATAACAACACCCCGACACTAACAACTTAATCAACTTAGGCACCAAGGCATTTATTTGCCTGTGACTTGTTTCGAGAGTTGTCCAGCTCTCACCTGAGAGCTGGAGACTTGTTGACACCTTCATCAGACTATTGCCACACAAGGAGAATCAACACAAGTGTTCAGGAAATAAGTGTGGAGGTGAGGTACCTGGTTGATACCTGGTTGAGAGACACGGTGTGGAGGCGCGGGTCCCCCGGACACCGCCGGCCACTGTGTACACGTACACAACACGACTGTACCCCCTTACGGGCTAGTCATGCCCGTGCCACCTCTTGGGTCCATTAATCTGCATCAATCAGACTGTACCTTCAGTGGTACTTGTTCCCCTACACCCGGCTCCCGACTAACACTGATTTCTCACACGATGAAAAGAAGTAACTATATTTCCTAAAATACACCTAAATTTTGTTTTATGGTTTTGTACATAGGCCTAAAGTCAAATCTAGGTTGATTTCATGGAATATTTAGGGTTGTGGTCGGAAGTGAAGGTTTATCTCGAGTCGTAGCTTGAGCCTCTTCATACTGACAAGGGTACACAAGCTGATGCGTTTAGACATCATGAGCGTAACTGGCCTCTGTTTAGATGCCAGGCGGCAACCTCTTAGTACTTGGTCATTGCTTATGAGGACGGGTGTGTGTCGGAGGAGTGAGTGTGTTGGTGAGGGAGGCAGCAGTGACGTCGGAACACGGGAGGATAAGAACGAGAGGACGAGTGAGCAGCGTGCAACACGAGAGGAAGGTTGAGGGTGATGCCTAGAGCGGATATGACTCTCTTTGTCACCCCCGCCACCACCAGTCATCTGTGCCCCGGTCACCACCAGCAGACATCTGTGCCCCAGTCACCACCACCAGTCATCTCTGTCCCAGTCACCACCAGTCACCTGTGTCCCGGTCACCACCACCACCACCAGTCACCTGTGCCCTGACCAGTGACTGGCAGGGGTGACACAAGGCGTCAGGGTAAACAGGGAGACTTAGAGGGCCTTCCCATGATGCCTCGCGTCACCACCACCACCACGGGAGCCCCATCATCACGAACCAATTCACCTCTTGGCGCCCCTTAACTTGAGAATTAAATGTCGGAGGAATAGGACAGATCAGACTTTAACCGTGTATCGTATCTAGGCCACGACCATTACGCAGTCGAGAGGATTCTAGCCATTAGCATGATGCTACATGACGGAGCGTCCTTGTACCTTACACAACCCGCTGCCCGTCCTGGGACCTCCAGGCAGTGCACCGAGTGACCTTTGTGTGCCTGGTACCTTCATTCAACAAGTTAGGAATAAATGATGTATCAGCCCTCATCTTCACCGGACACGTCCTGCCTCTAGAGGCGATAATAATGTGAGAGGGAAGAAGATGCTACGCAAAACATAACATCACTGGTCAACTACTAAATTAATAAGTGATGGTTCTTAAGACAAGCAATAGCTGGTCCTGTATGTATAGTGTAATGGTAGTTAATTTTGTCACAGATGTCACAAGACTGTAATTTAAACTACGCATATGCACAGTCAAATTGCATAGTGTCTGAATTTTGCATGACAAACTAAATTTATAAACAAAGTCATTTTCTTCGTGTGAGAGAGAGAGAGAGAGAGAGAGAGAGAGAGAGAGAGAGAGAGAGAGAGAGAGAGAGAGAGAGAGACGACGGGAAGAAGGGAGAGTCCAATTCCCCACACTGGTGGACCCGAAGCCTTGCTATGACACTTCACCTTTAAAATTTCACCCGAACGTGTACTGTTCGTCCCCACACACACACACACACACACACACACACACACACACTTAGTAAATGGAATGGACTAGGAAGTAATGTGGTGGAGGCTGACTCCATACAGTTTCAAATGTAGATATGATAGAACTCGAGAAGCTCAGGAATCTGTACACCAGTAGATTGACGGTTGAGAGGCGGGACCAAAGAGCCTGAGCTCAACCCCCTCAAGCACAACTAGGTGATTACAACAACAACAACAACTAAGCGAGTTGAATCACGTGACCACTTAGCCCCCTCTGTCATTCAATGAAAGATAAAAAAAAAAAGTCTTGAAGTCTGTGTAGGGAACAAAGATTGTCTCGAATCTTTCCTTCAAGACTGGCATCCGTGAGAACACTTGCCAAGTGAAGGATGCCGTGGGCGAGTCATATACCTTTCATCTTCATGTCATGAGTGATATGTGATCTGTATGCAAGATGGTGCCACTAGGCCACAATATGTGTAAACAGGTCGTCTTATCAGCTACTCGATTAATAATTGATATTTTGTTTAGGTAAAAGATCTAGAGTATAACATGAGACGATAGTGTCGAATGAGACAGTACTTTGTCTCAGTTGCGCAGCGTCCTGGCACGGATTTGGACCACCGGACACGTCCTGGCACGGATTTGGACCACCGGACACGTCCTGTCACGGACCTGGGCCACCGGACACGTCCTGCCACGGACCAAGACCACCGGACACGTCCTGCCACGGACCAGGACCACCGGACACGTCCTGCCACGGACCTGGGCCACCGGACACGTCCTGTCACGGACCTGGGCCACCGGACACGTCCTGTCACGGACCTGGGCCACCGGACACGTCCTGCCACGGACCAAGACCACCGGACACGTCCTGCCACGGACCAGGACCACCGGACACGTCCTGCCACGGACCAGGGCCACCGGACACGTCCTGCCACGGACCAGGACCACCGGACACGTCCTGTCATGGATCTTCTGTAGTTTGTCCCAAGAGTTTTTCCTACGCTCCAAGCCCGGCCTGGGGCCAGGCTTGACCTGAAATAACAAACTCTAGATCAAACATTATCACGTTAGACGGCTTTTGTTTGGAGCAGCCCGCAGGCCCACACGTCCATTACACGCTGGTGGCTGCTGCTGCTGCGGCACTTCCTGCAGGAACTTCAAGTGTGTCTTGAACACGTGTACTTGTGTTCAATATTTGTTGTAGTTGTTAGGAGGAGGTTGGCCAGATGTGGCCCTCCGATGTTCAAACGTGTTGTTTCTGATTATACTTATGGCACCTCTAATCTTCAAGGGCCTTCTAACCTAACCTTCTAACCTTCACTGGCGCCATTTTGCATTTCTCATCATATACTTCGCTCCAGTATGGTATTTAGTTGTGCATATTTGGGAGCTGGCCTTCCAGTCTCTCTTCCATGTATAACCTGAGCTTGTAAAAGCACCTTCATCATCTTCAGTGATTAAGTGCTTAATTGCACACTAGTTTCTTTATCAGCTACCTCACCCTGTCAGAGTAAATGAGACAAATGTATGTGAATGCATGTGTGTGTATATATGTATGTATATGTGTGTGTGTGTGTGTGTGTATGTATATGTATGGGTATAAAGTATATATGGAAGCTGATCAGAATTACATTTCACCTTTGTGAATGTACATTAATGACACTATGTAAAAGACACATCGAACACTTTATGTAGGGCATACGTAAATCTGTGTATCTATGTATTTACGTATGTAGGTTAGCTTATCATTTTAAAAGCACCGAATCACCTGTGGTTGAGTGTTCAATAAACCCTTGAACTATATGTTTAACACATCTCTAACCCTGTCCATGGAGGACAGAAGAAAATGTATATATGCTGGTTAGCATTGTAAATGTGTGGCCACGTCTGTGGTAGAAAAAAATAATAATAATAAAAAAAGTTCATTTTGAGAGCTCAACCAGGTATCAACCAGGTATTAACCAGCTCAGACACGGTCCCAGTAATTATTTAGGTGCTTTATCGTGTCTTTTCTGTGAATTTCCTGTTTCAAAAACCTCTCCGGCTTTGAATGAGGGAGGACTGAGCATACAGTGCCAGTGATTTAAATAGTTAGAGCATTGTGGAAAGATGCAGGCGATGAGTCACAATAACGTGGCTGAAGTATGTTGACCAGACCACACACTAGAAGTTGAAGGGACGACGACGTTTCGGTCCGTCCTGGACCATTCTGAAGTCGACAATCGACTTGAGAATGGTCCAGGACGGACCGAAACGTCGTCGTCCCTTCAACTTCTAGTGTGTGGTCTGGTTAACATTGTGGAAGGATGTGAAGGTCCTCATAATCACCTCCTACCATTTTCCTGCCTCGCGGGCTTTGTTATGCTCGCTAAACATAAGACAAAACTCAGACAGTGATCGTCTGAGCTCATTATTCCCCAGATCTTTTACATGTTTTCCTTCTGTGAGGAGATGTGACCGTGTCTTCTACCCCGAACTTTGTTCAAGTTCTAAGTTTTTGTTTACCATATTTAACCAAGTATCTGGAATTATCACTTAAAATTCAGGTTATTTTTCGTTGCTCAGTGGAAGACCTAATTGAGATTGATTTGCAATTGTTAATGTCTTCTACCGAGATATTTTCCTGCTGAGATTGTTATCGTCTGCTGAGGTGGACACGAACCTGCGACTTGTTTCACTGTGCTCCGACTTCATTTCGCTTAACTGTTACTCTTTGCATTTTGTTTGGCCGAAAACTATATGTCCATCACCCTCTACGCTTACCTGTTATTCCTATGGGCCTTATGTTATGGGCTATCACTCAACGGTCACATTTACCAAATGTCTTTGCAAATTGACCAGACCATACACTAGAAGGTGAAGGGACGACGACGACGTTCGGTCCGTCCTGGACCATTCTCAAGTCGATTGTGAGAATGGTCCAGGACGGACCGAAACGTCGTCGTCCCTTCACCTTCTAATGTGTGGTCTGGTCAACTTACTTTAGCCACGTTATTGTGACTCATCGCCTGCAAATGTCTTTGCAAACTCCGTATATACATCATCTGCCTTTTGGTTTTCTTCTGAGGACGTTTCCGTGATTTTGCCACGCTGGTTGAATAATTACAAAGACAGCATCTTCCCGTGAACAAATCCACAAGGGCCGTGACGAGGTTTCGAACCTACGTCCGAGAGGATCCCAGACGCTGCCTTAATCGACTAGTTACAGCATCTTCCCATTTCAATCCAGGTTGACCTGGGGCTGTGAAGGTCATTCTTTTCAGTGAAACTGGAGATCTGACTCCCTAAGCACTCTTTCAAAGACTATAATTATGGGTGATGGGAGTGAGACTGTTCTCTATCTTGAGGTTATCTTGAGATGATTTCGGGGCTTTTAGTGTCCCCGCGGCCCGGTCCTCGACCAGGCCTCCACCCCCAGGAAGCAGCCCGTGACAGCTGACTAACACCCAGGTACCTATTTTACTGCTAGGTAACAGGGGCATAGGGTGAAAGAAACTTCGCCCAATGTTTCTCGCCGGCGCCTGGGATCGAACCCAGGACCACAGGATCACAAGTCCAGCGTGCTGTCCGCTCGGCCGACCGGCTCTAGGTTTTAGCCAACGCCTCCACTGTGTGGAGTGAAACTATAATTGCTGATGACCAGACCACACACTAGAAGGTGAAGGGACGACGACGTTTCGGTCCGTCCTGGACCATTCACAATCGACTTGAGAATGGTCCAGGACGGACCGAAATGTCGTCCCTTCACCTTCTAGTGTGTGGTCTGGTCAACATACTTTAGCCACGTTATTGTGACTCATCGCCTGCATATAATTGATGATTTGAGTGATGGGGAAGATTGAGAGGAGAGGAGACGTTTGAGAGAGTGCGGTGGAGACACTCAAAACATATTCTGATCAAATAATTCCGGTGTGGCCCAGGCGGAAGGGTGTGGAGGGGGATGAGGCTAACGGTTCATCCAGCTCTTTCCAAGCTCAACCTCCACATAAGCCCCCACTCCCCACTCCCCACCCTCAAACACACACACACACTATCCCAACTCGGCAGATTATCCGGAGGGTAAAACTATATCTTGTGTGAGTATTGGTCATACTCTTGAGGGTGTAGAGGCACCAGGAAGGGCCGACATCCGCTCCCTACACCTGGCTGGCCTAGTGCACCACCGGTAACATGCACGCACACGCCACTGCTCGCACACGCCCCTGCTCGCACCCCCACACGTCCCGCCCCCCAGCAGCGCAGTACCCCAAGACGTGTGAGGGAGAGTATAGTGGTCACAGCGCCACATGCCCACAACCTCCTCGCAAGAAATAGCAAGAGATGTCTCTCTCTCTCTCTCTCTCTCTCTCTCTCTCTCTCTCTCTCGGGGGAGCAGAGACAACAGGTGGGGCGGCGCGCCCTTATTTTGGCAGCTTCCCCGCCACTGCAGCCACTGTTTACCTGTCTCAAGTAAACTACGCCTTCCAGCCATCACAGGCACGCTCACCATCGCTGGTAAACTGCCTTTACAACATCACGGGTCCATCACTACATTATGCACGAGCATCACCATGTGTACAGATCGACACTATCACAGGAACATTACACATTATCTCAATCAAAAGTACCCAAAAGCCTCAATAGGTACAGTGAACATTATCACAGCCACAACAGGTACACTGAACATCAACATGCCTATACCTCATCACCCTGGGTACAGCATATAGAGCCAAGTGTACCCAGCGACAGGTGTGCGCACCTGTTCGCACCAGCAGCAGCAGCAACAGGAGGGTGACGTCTCGCATCTGGACGCAGCTGAGGTCGTTCACCTCAGAGCGCGGCGTCTTCCTCCTGTACGCTGTCAATATACCGTCTCTGGAGAACAATTAAGTCTACGCTTGTCAATTACGCAATGATTATCACTAATCAAAACATGATTCATATTCACCAAAAAGCAACCGCGCCCTTGAACTGAAGAATGCTTGATAATTGACCGATGCCTGATAGGATCCGGTGGTTTATGAAGCATTAGATGCTTGATAAACCACCGCAAGCCTAAAAAAGTAAGGTTTATTTATTGAGTAGCGTGTTGTGGGTCCGGAGATGGTCGCATTAAACTGTGAATGTCAAGGTGCCTGGTAGTGGGGCAGATTAGCTCATCCTAATCTGAGGGTCGGTCACCCCGAGACACTTCACCCTCCGTTCCTCGACTCCTAGCACAGACACCCTAACCGGCCTGCCTAGGTGTGTGTAGGTACACGCACGTGGCTGAGTTACTGTAGATATACGCAGTGAGGGCCTAGAGCAGGAGGAACATGTGCGCGTCAGTGGCAGTAGGTCGGTCACTCACCCCAAGCCAGAGCCTGGCCGCCATGCTACGCTCCCGCACCACCAACACCTGCCAAGAAGTCCCATGTAAACATCTAAGAGGAACTTCACGAGTATTCTCACAATGTTAACGTGCAGCACTAACTGCAGGTTAAGAAGATGAATAACTGCCATACGTGGCAATGCAGGTGGGCAGGTTGCTTAAGACACTAACACACCAACACACTAGCAAGTAATACTAACACTTAGAATTACAGAATGATAGAGAATACGTGTGTTGCAGTGAAGAGTTAGAGGCTTAACGTAGGAGTAATTCATTAGAACCCCCAATCCCAGCAACGTTGGTGTCCGTGAACCTTAGTTCACGGAGTTCATTACTCTCGCGTTCTGACCCCTGACTAACATTGCAACGTTCTAAGCTGACGTTAGGTTGATGAGTTATTACACTGATGTTGGCAGCGTAATTCGCACGCCTGCGACATATGGGCGGGAAAGAGGAAGAGGAGGAGGAGTAGAGAGTATATGAGGTTGAGGCGGAGTACATGTGGGAGCGGTGAGGCAGTCAACCTGCCACTGGGGGGCGGGTTTCCCCCTGGCCCACCTGCCGCTGCTGCTGCTGCTGCTGGAGGTACCGTTACCAACACGCGGAAGTCACAGCGCTTGCGCCCTCCCTCAAGGTACTAACCAAGGTAACCTCTTTCACCACAGCCTCGCGCGCACACACACACACATCTTGCCACCACACACAATACACTCAAGTACCCACACACCTCGTTATGGACACATGACTGCTAACTTATATCGTCCATTTGACACGTAAAAAAATGCATTTCCTTTCCCTAATTAGAAACTTTCCAACCTAAGCAGCGGACAAACCCCCATCAAGACCGATGCTCAGAAAACATTAATATTAAGATGTTTTAATTTTGACACAAAACCCAGCAGTTTGGACGTTACTAATGTGTTAACAATGAGATACAGTTGATGAGAAGATTCACGTTGTATAATGTATAACTGGTTGTC